AGAGTGAAGTACCTTGGCCTCAGAGTGAAGAACCTTATCCACAGAGCGAAGAACCTTGTCCTCAGAGTGGAAAACCTTGTCCTCAAAATGAGGAACCTCGTCCTCATAGTGAAGAACCTTGTCCTCAGAGAGAAGAACCTTGTCCTCAGATTGAAGGAACTTGTCCTCAGAGTGAAGAAACTTGTCCTCAGAATGAAGAATCTCGTCCTCGGAGTGAAGAAACTTGTCCTCAGAGTGAGGCACCTTGTCGTCGGAGTGAAGAAACTTGCTCTCAGTGTGAGGAACCTTGTCCTCAGAGTGAAGAACCTTGTCCTCAGAGTGAAGAACCTTCTCCTCAGGGTGAAGAACCTTGTCCTCAGAGTCAGGAACCTTGTCCTCGGTATGAAGAACCTTGTCCTCAGAGTGAAAAACCTTGTCCTCAGAGTGAAGAACCTTGTCCTCAGAGTGAAGAACTTGTCCTCAGAGTGACGAACCTTGTCATCAAAGTGAGGAATCTTGTTCTCAGAGTGAAGAACCTTTTCCTCGGAATTAAGAACCTTGTCCTCAGAGTGACGAACCTAGTCCTCAGAGTGAAGAATCTTGTCGTCAGAGTGAAGAACCTTGTCCTCAGAGTGGAGGACCTTGTCCTCAAAGTGAGGAACCTTGTCCTCAGTGTGAGGAGCCTTGTCCTCGGAGTGAAAAACCTTGTCTTGAGAGTGAAGAACTTTGTCTTCAGAGTGAAGAACCTTGTCCTCAAAGTGAGGAAGCTTGTCCTCAGTGTGAGGAACCTAGTCCTCAGCGTGCAGCAGCTTGTCCTCAGAGTGGAGGACCTGGTCATCAGAGTGAAGAAACATGTCCTCAGAGTGAGGAACCTTGTCCTCAGAGTGAGGCACCTGCTCCACGGAGTGAAGAACCTTGTCCTCAGTTTGAAGAACCTTCTCATCTGAGTGAAGAACCTTATCTTCAGAGTGAAGAACCTTGTCCTCAAAGTGAGGAACCTTGTCTTCAGTGTGACGAACCTTGTCCTCAGAGTGAAGAACCTTATTCTCAGTGTTAGGAACCTTGTCCTCAGAGCGCAAAACCTTGTCCTCAGTGTGAGGAACCTCGTCCTCAGAGTGAAGAAACTTGTCCTCAGAGTGAAGAACCTGGTCCTCAGAGTGAAGAACCTAGTCCTCAGAGTGAAGAAACTTGTCCTCAGAGTGAAGAACCTCGTCCTCAGAGTGAAGAACCTTGTCCTCAGAGTGAGGCACCTTGTCCTCGGAGTGAAGAACCTTGCCCTCAATGTGAGGAACCTCGTCCTCAGAGTGAAGAAACTTGTCCTCAGAGTGAAGAACCTTGTCTCAGAGTGAGGCACCTTGTCCTCGGAGTGAAGAACCTTGCCCTCAATGTGAGGAACCTCGTCCTCAGAGTGAAGAAACTTGTCCTCAGAGTGAAGAACCTTGTCTCAGAGTGAGGAACCTTGTCCTACGAGTGAGGAACCTTGTCCTCAGAGAGAAGAACCTTGTCCTCAGTGTGAGGAACCTTGTCTTCAGAGTGAGGACCCTTGTCCTCAGAGTGAAGTACCTTGTCCTCAATGTGAGGGACTTTGTCCTCAGTGTCAGCAAATTTGTCCTCAGTTTGAGGAACCTTGTCCTCATATTGAGGAACATTGTCCTCAGAGTGAAGGACCTTGTTCTCAGAGTGAAGAATCTTGTCCTCAGAATGAAGAACCTTATTCTCAGAGTGAAGAACCTTGTCTTCAGAGTGGAGAACCTTCCCCTGAGAGTTAGCAACTTTGTCCTCAGTGTGAAGAACCTTGTCCTCAAAGTGTCCTCAGAGTAAGGAACCTTGTCCTACGAGTGAGGAAACTTGTCCTCATAGTGAAGAACCTTGTCCTCAGTGTGAGGAACTCTTTCCTCGGAGTTAAGGACCTTGTCCTCAGACTGAAGAATTTTGTTTTCAGACTGAGGAACCTTGTCCTCAGTGGCAGCAAATTTGTCCTCAGTGTGAGGAATCTTGTCCTCACAGTGAGGAACGTACCTTGTCCTCATAGTGAAGAACCTTGTCCTCAGAGAGAAGAACCTTGTCCTCAGAGTGAAGAAACTTGTCCTCAGAATGAAGAATCTCGTCCTCGGAGTGAAGAAACTTGTCGTCAGGGTGAGGCACCTTGTCCTCGGAGTGAAGAAACTTGCTCTCAGTGTGAGGAACCTTGTCCTCAGAGAGAAGAACCTTGTCCTCAGAGTGAAGTACCTTGTCCTCAGAGTGAGGAACCTTGTCCTCAGAGTGAGGAACCTTTTCCTCAGAGTGCAGAACCTTGTCCTCAGTGTTAGGAACCTTGTCCTCAGAGCGAAGAACCTTCTCATGAGAGCGAACGAACTTGTCCTCAGAGTGAGGAACCTTGTCGTCAGTGTGAAGAACCTTGTCCTCAGAGTGGAGAACCTAGTTCTCAGTGTCAGAATCTTTGTCCTCAGTGTGAGGAACCTTGTCCTCACAGTGAAAAACCTTGTCCTCAGAGTAAAGAACCTTGTCTTCAGAGTGAAGACCCTAGCTAGTCCTCAGAGTGAAGAACCTTGTCCTCAGACTGAAGAACCTTGTCCTCAGAGTATAGAACCTCGTCCTCAGAGTGAAGAATCTTGTCCTCAGAGTGAAGAACCTTGTCCTCAGAGTGAAGAATCTAGTCCTCAGAGTGAAGAACCTTGTTTTCAGAGTGAACAACCTTGCCCTTAGGGTGAAGAACCTTGTCCTCAGAGTGAAGAACCTTATCCTCAGAGTGAAGAACCTTGTACTCAGAGTGGAGAACCTTGTCCTCAAATCGAGGAACCTTGTTCCCAGTGTGAGGAACCTTATCCTCAGAGTGAAGAATCTTGTCCTCCGAGTGAAGAACCCTCTCTTTAGAGTGAAGAACCTTGTCCTCAGTGTGAAGAACCTTGTCCTGAGAGTGAAGAACCTTGTTCTCAGAGTGAAGAAATTGTCCTCAGAGTGAGGAACGTTTTTCCGCAGAGTGAAGAATTTTGTCCTCAGAGTGAAGAACCATGTCCTCAGACTGAGGAACCTTTTTCTCAGTGTCAGCAAGTTTGTCCTCAGTGCGAGGATCCTTGCCTCAAAGTGAGGAACCTTGTCCTGAGAGTGAAGAACCTTGTGCTCAGAGTGAAGAACCTTGTCCTCAGAGTGAAGAACCTTGTCCTCAGAGTGGAAAACCTTGTCCTCAAAGTGAGGAACCTTGTCCTCGGAGTGAAGAACCTTGTTCTCAGTGTGAAGAACCTTGTCCTCTGTGTGAAGAAACTTGTCTTCAGAGTGAAGTACCTTGTCCTCAAAATGAGGAACCTTGTCCTCAGAGTGAAGAACCTTGTCCTCACGGTGAAGAACCTTGTCCTCAAAGTGAAGAACCTTGTCCTCAGAGTGAAGTACCTTGGCCTCAGAGTGAAGAACCTTATCCACAGAGCGAAGAACCTTGTCCTCAGAGTGGAAAACCTTGTCCTCAAAATGAGGAACCTTGTCCTCATAGTGAAGAACCTTGTCCTCAGAGAGAAGAACCTTGTCCTCAGATTGAAGGAACTTGTCCTCAGAGTGAAGAAACTTGTCCTCAGAATGAAGAATCTCGTCCTCGGAGTGAAGAAACTTGTCCTCAGAGTGAGGCACCTTGTCGTCGGAGTGAAGAAACTTGCTCTCAGTGTGAGGAACCTTGTCCTCAGAGAGAAGAACCTTGTCCTCAGAGTGAGGAACCTTGTCCTCAGAGTGAGGAACCTTTTCCTCAGAGTGCAGAACCTTGTCCTCAGTGTTAGGAACCTTGTCCTCAGAGCGAAGAACCTTCTCCTGAGAGCGAAGGAACTTGTCCTCAGAGTGAAGAACCTTGTCGTCAGAGTGAGAACCTTGTACTCAGAGTGGAGAACCTTGCCCTCAAATCGAGGAACCTTGTCCCCAGTGTGAGGAACCTTATCCTCAGAGTGAAGAACCTTGTCCTCAGAGTGAAGAACCTTCTCCTCAGGGTGAAGAACCTTGTCCTCAGAGTGAAGAACCTTGTCCTTAGATTGTAGAACCTTGTCCTCAGGGTGAAGAACCTTGTCCTCAGGGTTAAGAACCTTGTCCTCAAAGTGAAGAACCTTGTCCTCAGGGTGAAGAACCTTTGCCTCAGAGTGAAGAACCTTATCCACAGAGTGAAGAACCTTGTCCTCAGAGTGGAAAACCTTGTCCTCAAAGTGAGAAACCTTGTCCTCGGAGTGAAGAACCTTGTTGTCATTGTGAAGATCCTTGTCCTCTGTGTGAAGAAACTTGTCTTCAGAGTGAAGTACCTTGTCATCAAAATGAGGAACCTTGTCCTCAGAGTGAAGAACCTTGTCCTCACGGTGAAGAACCTTGTCCTCAAAGTGAAGACCCTTGTCCTCAGGGTGAAGTACCTTGGCCTCAGAGTGAAGAACCTTATCCACAGAGTGAAGAACCTTGTCCTCAGAGTGGAAAACCTTGTCCTCAAAATGAGGAACCTTGTCCTCGGAGTGAAGAACCTTGTTCTCAGTGTGAAGAACCTTGTCCTCTGTGTGAAGAAACTTGTCTTCAGAGTGAAGTACCTTGTCCTCAAAATGAGGAACCTTGTCCTCAGTGTGAGGAACCTTGTCCTCAGAGTGAAGAACCTTGTCCTCAGTGTGACGAACCTTATCTTCAGAGTAAGGAATCTTGTCCCCAGAGTGAGGAACCTTGTCCTGAGAGTGAGGAACCTTGTCCTCAGAGTGAGGAACCTTGTCCTCAGAGTGCAGAGCCCAACCTCGTACCCAGGGCCTCCTGCTGAGGGCGAAGGCCCTGGTAAGTGCTGGTTTCAAACACTGAACTATATAGCAATATTTTTAAACACGAGGCGATTCGAACGTGGGGAGTGTCTGACAAAACTATAATTATTTAAAAAAAAACATGGCGTCGATCAATGAGCGCCAGTGATGAGCGCCCTGCGAGGACAAGATGAATTCTTTTGTTTTCAATGAATCTTCAAGGTGAACTGATATACATCGAATATAATTTAATTAGGTGTGTAACCAAACTGACTAATTTTTTTAATAAATATATTTGATACAATCCTATGATATTTAATATTTTATATACAAATTAATAGATGGAACCATTGCTCTTTCTTTAGAAGTACCGAGTACGAAATATATCTCAAAAATTACTGCCTTCATTATCATAAGAACTCATTATTCGTTGTGATAAACTATGATATGAAAATTCACAAAAAGTTACAGTCATGAGGTTATTTTATGAGAAAAATATCGACTTTTATCACCGATTTTCAGCTGATTATTAATATTTTGAATTAATGTCTGATGTAAATATATATTGCAATTTCTATATTTAAACGTGATCTATATGTACTGTTGTCAGTCTAATGTTGAATAAACATAATACATTGTGCAGACAAATTGCCCATTTCAGTAGTTTATTTGAATGTATGTAGACAATGAAACTGTTTTCTATTCAGCGATAAACAATAGTAAGAACGATTACTTAATTATGGTGGCCGGACATTTTGCCGAAAGACACTTTGCCGAAAGACATTTTGCCGAAAGACATTTTGCCGAACGGACATTTTGCCGACGGACGTTTTGCCGAACGGACGTTTTGCCGAACGGACATTTTGCCGAATGGACATTTTGCCGAACAGACAGTCTGACGAACGGACAACTTGCCGAAAACGGAGATATCTTCTGAACTTTAAAGGTTCGCTTATACGGTCAAAATATCTGTGATTTAAAGTCATTGTCGATTTTGATGACAGAAACTTTGATAGTGAAGTATAGTTTCGTTTTATATTCTTTCAAGTTTTTGACAAGTTTACCGAAATTTCGCGATATAAAGAATAACATCATTCAAGATCATTCATTAATGCGATTTCCCCCAGAACTGCAGTGAATGTATTCCATGATTCTCGAAGTAAAATTCGCTTACGTCGTAGTCTTTATATACGCTTGTTTGTTTACGACTTGATGTCGAAACACGTTCCTTAACAAATGAGTCATCAAGCTACCAATAGTCAATATGGTTATGCACTATTAATGACATTATGCAATGCTAATGACCATTATGCACTTCTAATGACCATATAATGATTATTTTACACAATGGTTGAGAATTACACAGTTGAGAAATGAGTCACAGTCCCAAACATTTTGACGAAATAACATCTCTATTTTCGGCAAGTTGTCCTTTCGGCAAACTGTCCGTTCTGCAAAATGTTCGTTCGGCAAAATGTCTGTTCGGCAAAACGTCCGTTCGGCAAAACGTCCGTCGGCAAATTGTCCGTTCGGCAAAATGTCTTTCGGCAAAGTGTCTTTCGGCAAAATGTCCGGGTACCCTTAATTATAATGTCATTGGAATGATAATCCTCCTAAAATCTTACCTAAACTTTTTAAAACTACACTTAAATAGCTAATCTAATTAATTATATTATACTTGTAATTTTATTATACAGGGTGTCCCAAAAAACCCGAAAACTATTGAAATCACTTATTGTCAAAATTTGAATGCTTTACCAAAAAGCTGAACGTAATGATGCATAAAATATTGACAAGATGCATGTATTAGAATCATAGTTAAGAACATCTTCTTGTAAAGTGGACGATTTTCTGTGCTTGGGAATTTAAAGCAAATTTAAAGGACAGTTTCTTTATGCATAAAATTTACTTATGTCAATCATTTATGCACTCGTGGGAACCAACAGAGTGCTAAGGCATTCAAATTCTAACAATTAAATTGTTATTGGTGATTTCAATAGTTTTTGGTTTTTTGGGGACACCTGTATAATTGTAGTATGTGTATTGTGTTTCTCTTTTACCATTCTCTTTCACCATGCAATATAATGGACCAGTCATTAATAATGGGTGGGAGAGGTGGGTGAGAAAAGGGAGATGGCCTTATGTACTAGGAGAAGATTTACTTAAAGTATTTTCATAAGAGAATAAAAAAAAACATTGAGCATGTAACCATGGGCATACCGGAAGGAAAAATTTAGGGAAGCGGAAAGAAAATTGCCCGACTTTTCGGGAATGTGCCCGACTAGTACCGAAAATTTCCCCCCCCCCCCCTATGCATGTACCTGGTATAAATCAACAGACGGATGTAATATA